CGTTTTTTTTACATTGGCTATTTTTTTCTTAATCCTCAGTTAACAATGTTTACAGTTTAATGAACTTCATCAGTCCAGTGCAGTGTACGGAAAGTGTAACAATAATTAATCTCAAGTGAACATATTCACAAAACACTAAATAAATTATCATTATTCTTAGCAATAATGTGTCTTACTAAGAAGTAATAAACATGTGCATGAAATACTAGAATTCACGATCTTATAAAAATATACTGGCTAACAACTGTCTGTAAAATGTTGCATTGACTCTTGTGTTCTTTGTCTACAGATATCTAGAACGGACTACATTCACAGTCGTAATTTCATCCATCGAGACATTAAGCCAGATAATTTCTTGATGGGATTAGGCAAGAAAGGAAATCTCGTGTACATTATAGATTTCGGGCTGGCTAAGAAATATCGCGATGGTCGTACTCACAAACACATACCCTACCGAGAGAACAAGAATCTAACGGGAACAGCCAGGTTTGTTGACCAATAAATTTTAGCTATATTGTTAGAATACGCTTCTCAGTATGTTTACATTTTATAAAGGATATAAAGTCTTTGGGTGAAGGTGCATTGGAGATTTTAAGGTGTCATTTCATCCATCTGTGAAACTCCTTGGAATCTCCTGTCTCCGCTCAAAAAACATTTGTATCCATTATGAATGCAGAGAATAATTGTGAACAACAGCTAAGATGTGTACCCTACATAGAAGGTAGTGAAATGATTGTGTTTTATCCGTCAACAGATACGCGAGCATCAACACACATTTGGGAATTGAGCAATCACGGCGAGACGACCTTGAATCTCTAGGATACGTTCTGATGTACTTCAACAGGGGTAGTTTACCCTGGCAAGGTTTAAAAGCGGCTACTAAGAGACAAAAGTACGAACGTATCTCAGAAAAAAAGATGTCCACACCTGTCGAAGAACTGTGCAAGGGTTATCCTGGTAAGCACCAGTTTCCACGTTTCATGGTGAAGGCAGTTTCGATGACCTTGACCCTTGACCTTTGATCTTGACACTGAAATCCCATTTTCGTTATATTGCAGTAGAGTTCGCGTCGTATCTGAGGTACTGTCGAGGTTTGCGTTTCGAGGAGAGGCCAGATTACTCGTATCTCCGACAACTGTTCCGGACGTTGTTCCACGGGCAGGGATTCACCTATGACTATGTGTTTGATTGGAACATGTTGAAGTTTGGAAACGTGAGGCAACCGACGTTGCCGTCAGCGCAACAGGCACCGATGCATTCACAACAGACGAACACCGCGCTGCCCTCCGGGACCAATAATGATCAGGAACATCGATCAAGGTTGGTGTTCGACCGATCCGAGTTAACACGTTGAGTACCGTGTGGGCCACCGTTGCGCCACGTTGATTATTCTGCTCCTTAATCCTCTGTTGTTTTAACGGAAGTACATGTTTCCATTTTAATAGTGTGTATTGTACATTATCTTCTCTTTCTTGTTAATCATTGTTTTTGTAGTCTTAGGAGAATTACGAGACATATCTTACGAACGTATAATAAATGCAGTAACGTGTACCATCGGTGGCCCACGCGGCGTGAATGGAAAATCGCGTGAATTTAGCGCGGCACTCAACTTGTTAAGCAGGACCTCCGCGCAGACACCCCGCATACGAAATCAGACGTGAACATGTTTAGCGATCTCTCGCGTGTCTCCGCCACCATGCCCACCGTCCTTTCATGTGTATAAATAGCATGGTCATTTCATTACCCAGCAAGTTCTATTCTCGGCGGCTGGGTCAATGAATCGGGAAATATACGCGTTCAACAACAGAAATAATCAAATACAAGAAATCCTTTCTCTGTGACTTTTGTTTTCTCTGTTCTGTAACGTATTTATCTAAACACCCTGTATAGAGGTGCAACCGTACTATTATAACGACTGGAAGGTTTAACCCTTTGCACTTTTCCTTTGTGGTGGGAATAATGGTAGAACTGTTCTCAATCGATTTTATTTTGTCAAATGAATCTGGTACCGTGTGGTATTTTCTTTTCGGTTAACTTCACCGTGAAGTGCAAAGGATTAACGCAATGCCCCTCGGTGAGTCATGTTGTTACTAGGGCTGACGAATTCTGCGGACATTGTAACGAAAACTTTATCAAACATTAATTCATTTGTAAGTGATATTGCATTCTGATATGTAAATATGTGCAAATAAAATACAATGAAGTACCATTTATGTGAATTAATTGAATTTTCATACAATTACCAGTTCAGTAACAACATGATGCATTTGAAAGACATTATACACTACTACGGATACTCGGAGAATCGGTTTCTTAAATGACATTAGTCGTATAAGCTCGTAAGAGTAGGTCAAGAACAAAATAACTCTTTAATCTGTCCAAGCTGTTTAAGAACATTATCTTCTAATCCATCTAACGAATACTTAGCCTACAGATTCTGATAAAACTTTAAATTAAAAAATATATCTTCTCATTCATAAGGAAATTCCTTGATAACTCTAATCTATATCTTCTCGTATTAGCTCGGGATACGTGTTATCCTTATAATGCGAATTCCTATAAATATAAAACCACTTTTAACATTAATCCAAAACCTTTATTATTTAGCGCAATTCACATAAAACAATATTAATGTAACAATTTGCATCCGGAAAGTCAGTTAATCAGGTTTCATAAACGCCATCAGTTCCAGCTATTAATCGTCTAATCAACGCATTCGTTCCAGGCCCTACACACGGCAGTGTCTAGCGAACGCGTCGGTGACGACGGTGGTGGGTCCGACCGTGGGTACACCCTCGAACCTGAGAAGCTTGCGGCCGAAACGTGAGGCGATGGACGCGCTCCGCGATCAGGACAATCAGGAGAAGATTGACCTGCAAGGTAAAGCCCAGTTCGACCAAAAATTATCGGTTAGCGGTCAGCAGCAGCAGCAGCAGCAACAACCGGAGGGTACCGCTGATCGAAAAACGCAACTCGTGGTTAGTCACTCGCAGCCAGGCGGTAGCGAACTCGCGCAGCAACGCTCGAACCCTTGTCAGTTCACCACGTTCAAATCGTCCCTGGTCAGGGCGACCCCGGGCGTCGGGTCCCTAGGTATATCGGACTTGTCCCTAGAACATCGGGAGCCAACCGTGCCACCAAACCGTGCCGCGGAACCGAATACAACCGCGTCCCGCGATTGTTATCAATCGATCGATCAATCGCGCGAGCCGAATCCCCATTTTTTTCCCCGGTACGTACCGACCAAGGAGGCAGATCGCGAGGTGGTGACGTTCGACGGTGGACCACTTCCCGGGAACAGGCTCGAGAAGAGGGAGGACAAGTTGGACAACATCAGTGCAGACGTTAATAGAAATTCTCAGCGCATCGCGGACAGTCGCCGCAATTCAGGGACGATGGAGTACGCAGACAGAGAGACCAAGAGCAACCATTCACCCGGTAGCAAGGAGGAAAAGCAGAGGAACTCCCACAGAAGTCTGAAATCGTTGGAGAGAAGCTACTCGGCCCGCTCCTGGTTGGACGGTATATACGATTTATACTTTTGCCACAGCAAACAGTGTAGCCTAGATTACTCGCAGAAATCCGAGAAATCGACGGACACGTTCGCGAAGAAGCCGCCACCCAAGAAACGATCGAACTTGTTGCAGCGCGTACGACGAAGCTGGAATTTTTTACGCGAGCAACGAAAGTTCCGGCTACGACATAAATACGAGAGACCACAGAGCTCGCAGGAGAAGTGCGAGTATTTTTTACGGAAGTGCCAGAAGAACGAGTTTTACGTTCAGAATGGTTCGGCGGTACAGCCGATCGTGATGATCCCGAGCCAAACTATCGCCAAGCCGGAGGACAGTGCGCTTCTAAAAAAGAAGGACGGGGAGGAGAATCCGCTAAAAAAGAACACCGAGGATACCGAGAAGAAATCGGGAGAGAACCTCACCACCAGTCGTGTGGTCAGCCTCTGCGCGCGGAGCTTGCTAAAGCTGGACGAGTTAGATTGCTTAAGCACCGTAATGACCACCAGTGAAATTGTGTTCCAATACAAGCCGCGACAGGTTATTCATACTCTGTCAGAATGCCTCCTGGACATGTTGGTCTGTACTTGCTGTTAATGTTGTTCACAGGGAATGTTGTCCGTCACCATCGAGCGATCTTTGTCCGGCGGGTCCTGCTATCCTATGTTATGCTTGAACAGGTCTGGTCGGGATTTCGGTCTTAATTTTTTTCTTATCCTTTTTGTTTCTTCTCTCTGTTGCGCATACGGTGGAATAGATCATGGACGTTATAGAGTCCAATTACGTCGCCAAATAACCAATGGAACCAATTGCTCTTCTCCTTCTCTGGTGAGAAGAGAGATTTTTATACGTAACGCATACACTGTAGGTACTTGAACCTATGATCTCGAGTGAATCTTTAGTATTATGAATCTCGTCTTATTCGATCAAGTGATACTCTTTTTCTACGATTTATAATTTTTGATATGATTTATTAGTCTTAGGGGAATATATGGCGGCTGAAAATCTCATCCCGATAAACGAAATTCCAGAATATCCAAACGTCTATGTTCACGACGTCTACGACGCTGGCCAAACGACTGATAAAAATTGCCTAAAAACCAGCAGAGTTCCTTGTATTTTTTCAAATAGTTCTGATATTTTTATACGATATATACATTCAGAGAACGTACGATTCTCATTCGTCATTCATACGATCGTCATTCGAGCTTCGGAGCTCGCGTTCCACGAATAGATCGCTATTGTTCGTTACACGGAACAATTGAAATTGTCTTTCAAATAGATACCTTCGAGTAGATTGAAGTAGATCTCTGTTCATCGTAAAATTACATTTGGAAAGAGAAATGAAGGTACGTTCGTAGAAAAAAAGAAATGAAAAAAAAAGGGAGTGTGTAAGTTAACGATCTTCAATCGTTCAGAGAGGAAAAATTTAGTCGGTTCACTGTTTTTTTCAATCATTCTTTACATCGCATATATACTTTTCTGTTGTTCGTGCAGCTATTGGTTCAAATCGTTTATTTAACGTTCACTCCACTTTTGTAACCAACTGTATTGAACATTGTAAATTAACCGGAGCGCCCATTGTCGACGTTCCCGCTGATCGTTGAATCGTTTCGCGAAAGGCAGGGAGAATGTGGAGGATTCTCCTCGACTCGTTGACGAAAAGTTGTAATCATTCTGTTTTCCATTGACAGTGACAGATTGTAATGATGAGGAAGTAGCAAATAAACGTTTTTCCATTCAAGGACTGGTCTTCTTTATTTATTTCACCACACGACATTGTCGAATTATCCTTGTCAAAATTGCATTTCTTTTTTGTTCTCTCACTTGGCTTGAATGGAAAAACCGAAATCGCGGGACGAGTTTCGAGCACGGCACGGCGGATCGAAAAACAAAACCGTTTTTTTTGCATCCGCGAGAGAGGGCCATCCCGAAGGAACGAAATTCGTTACGCACAGGGGAATCCTCTGCGTTCGATCGTCGCAATTGCTCTTTTTGTGTCGATTCTGTCGCATCATCCGTCTTCACGAAAGCGCATTCCTTCTCGCTCATGGAATCCCCTTTTCTTCATACTATTTTTTATAATCATCGTCAGGTTGCCCAGTTGAATCGCTAGAGAATTTTTTGTCATGTAAACGACCAACCTTGGAAGATCGTCTGTTACCTCCGTGCTGCCTAATCATGGTCTCCTCGAGATTCAGAAAATCAGGTTTTCGATTTACTACGTGAAATTTCAACTTTCTCCTTATGAAGATATTAAAAAAATCTGCTCTTTATAATTGTTCAGAAAATTCTTAGAGAATATCTGCTGAAACTCGAAGAGACCAAGCTGCTGCTTTCCCAAGAAGAGAACAGTGAAATAAATTCGCGATGATTCCCAAGGTACGAGCAAAGTGGACGCCACTTCGTTGACCAGGCACACCGCCGGCAAGAATCGGCGTGAAACTGGTGAGATCGTCGCGCGCGGTGGTTTCAGCTCGCGGCATAACCACCGTGGTCATTCAAGACGCGCGCTTTTGCAACACGAGCGCTCTGTTCTCCAGTTTCTTATTTTTTATTCTGCCGCTGACCAGAGCTACCGCACCGCTGCGAGCACGTTTCGCGGCTCTTCTCAGGGGAACGACCGTCCCGCTGAACTCTTCGAATTCCGCGCTCGTATCCAATAAAAAGAGACTCGGCTAGACCGTTTCTCGATCGCTGGAATACGCGATCCTCGCGGGTGATCGACCATTTAACCATGTTCACTGGGAAAAACGAGTTCGTTACCTCCTTTGTATTCATTCCGACCGCCCGATCGAGAAATGCGATAGCCGGCTGTGACCTTTACGCGGATGTTTTTGAACTAATTTACGCTAGAATAGAAACTCACCCTCCGAAATCCGAAAATGTCACGAGAAAGATCGATATTTTCAATCATTGAACACGTAGTCGCAACATTTCAAGATTAGGCGAACAATATTCTCGTAACATTTCGATTCCCTTAAAACTCTTAGTAGCCAAAATGAATTTATCGAATGAAACAGTGATGCATAAAGAGGATTCCTATTCTTTGAGAAGGATATTGTTCACCGAATCCATTTGATCGTACGATAGGGTAATTCCAAGCGAGATGGCTCGATCTCATTTAAACCGTCGAGTATCCATATTCTCAATCATGTTTACTAGATACTAATACCTTCTATATAACTGTTATACTTTCTGTTATTCTTTCTGTTAGCTATCAATGCTATTCCTGATGCAACAGTTTGAAAAAAAAGTGAGCCATCTCACCGCGACTTACCCTATATCAATGATTTCCGAGGCGCGAGTCCTCGATCTTTTCATCATGCGAATCTGTTATTTTCTTCCTGGTCTATTTCAGTGACTGGCGTGCCCGGCCCGGAACGAAGGGTCAGCATGAGGCTGCACCGTAGGGATGCAGCTGCAGCCGCAGGCGAGATGCAGCCGAAGTCCAAGTGAGTTGCTATATCACGCAGCGGTATCATCGCCGCGCTAAAGCACCTAAGTATAACTCGCTCTGCCTAGCATTTAGGGTGTGGTCTTCGGTGTACGTGGCTTCGTATAACCGGTTGTACATGTCTCGGTTCCTCGATGTTGCGAATTAAATCGCGCGCCGCAATAAACTCTCTGCACCCGCGGGATCTAATTCGCGGCCTCGCGTGATCGCGCGTCCTCAATCCGATCGGGTGTCCGGACGGAGTTGCCTCGCCTCCTCGTCGATCCGCCCGAGGATCTCGTTCGACGAAGAGTTTCAGTTTTTATCAGCGTGTCTTGCTCCAGTTCATCCTTTGAAACAGAAACAATTGTCCGAATAATCTGTAAACGATGCACACTGTCGGTCGTAAGTCATAAGCCGTTCACGGACGATACAGCCGTGAACAGTTCGTTCGAGAATTGTCGTAGCTAAACGAAACTCGGCGAGTCTTCATTCTATCGATCGCTTGTCCCTTTCGTTCTGTCTAATTTCCATCGTGTGTGTCCATTTCGATAACTGTTAATCGGTTCGATACGAGCGACGATTTGCGATTTCGATGGTGGTGTGTCTGTACCGGAGATTGCTAAATGACCCAGGGAATGAACTAGTCGCGCGATTCGGCTCTCTTCAACTATGATTGCCTTTTCTTTGTAGCCGGCTGTAGGGCGAAGTTAGGCGAAATGTAATCCGATTAGACGGCGGCGACGATCGCAGCGTGATCGTTGATTCGAACGCAAGTTACTTTCCAGTAATTGTTTAACTGTTTAAGCAGTTATCTCGATTGCGTTTGTAGACCGGCGACAACGCGGATGGTAATTTGCGATCGAATCAACCCGCTGCGTTACGATTTAGTTTTCACTTGCGATTATTCAATGATTCGGCGTTGATAACGGAGGAATAACGTTTCTTTTGTATTTAGAAAGATAGAATGCGTGTTTCTGTCTGTTCATTTCAACTTTCACATTTCCAACGCGTGCCTGGCTATTACGCAGCGAAGAGCGATCCATTACATTTCTATAACGGTTCTCATCGTCTAATCAGATTACATTCCGCCCAACTCCGCCGTAGAGGCTCCGTACTGCTTGCGAACTAGATCTCGATGTGGTTGTCGGTGTTAGTTGCATTATTACTCAGCTCTAATTTTTTGCCAGGTCACACTTTTTTGGTGGATTGGTGTCTTGATACCGTGGCATGGTTCTCGTCCGGATCGTTTAGAGGTCCGGGGAGAAGTTGAGAGGGGAAACGGAGACTGTCGTCATTTGGAAAGAATGTTGATCACCGATTCAATTGAACCCATTACACTGCGACACCCAATGCTATCCTTGGTTCCTGCAGCGTATTTAGAAAGTCACGAGTCGCGCGACATATTATATTTTTCTGTATAATATTCGGGAAACTTGACGATCACGTGAAAACGTGATTCAATCGTTTTCCTTGAACTTTTCCAAGACTTTTCTCGCGACCCAGTAAACACGCTACATAAAGTATTTTCCCGAAGCGAATCAAGATCATTCGTACGAACGTAAGCATGAATATATATTCTTTCCAAATGCGACGTCCGATCTATTTGCCTGCTGTCGGGTGCACTTGGGATGGTATTTTTTCTTCAATCACGATTATTACCAGTTTGTATATTTTTTGCGTGACAAACGCGAGCGACTGCGACACAAAGTAAATTGGCTTCTTTCACGCTGACCGATCGACACATTCGTTATCTATTTTGTTCACTTTATTGTCACCTTACTGGGAACGCGATGGATTCCGTATGCGCCGGGTGAACGATGAAGACGTTGTGCCACGTCCTCGCGTGAATACAGAAAATCACTCTCAGAAGCTCCGGGTTTCGCGTACCAGCGATTACGTTTTATCGCTTAAATAATCTACCGAAATTGTAGAACAAAAAAATATCGGTCGTACGTCACACCGAGATCGCTGGTACGAGACACCGTTTCTCGATTCCCGTGAGGAACGTTGCACAGGGGATGATCGAAAGGGCATGATCACTTGTATTCCAGTGATCGAGATCTACACGTAATCGTTGAAACTCGCCGACATTACCAAAGTAAAAATGATTCACGATTTAACCTAACGCATCTGTTTCGACTCACCGGAATCACAAAACAGCGAAAGTTTTCAGTTCGCGAAAAGAAAATCGTTCTTTTGCCTATGAAACGTGGATTCGAAAGGGGTTGGAATCGCGAGGATCTCGATCACGGAATCGTTCACGCTCGCCGGAATGCCCGATGACTGGGAATCGGATCGGAGGATATCTGAACAGCCGTGTTCCGAGTTGCGAAGGCGCTTTCACGTTTCGGTTTCAAGATATTCGGCCGCGCGACCGATGAATAAGAGCGTGACGAGAGGCAGGGGGTGGACAGACTGCCGAGCGGATGATTACGATACCGCCGCTCGGTAACTGGCCGCTGCACCTTATCGTCAGCCGTCTCGTAACCTTCCGATAAAAGCACTGTTTACGAGTCTCGTACTGATTCACGAGCCGCTGTCTCGGCGGGAATAAATTGTTCGGCCCGATGGGGATCGGGCGTCGATCTTCGATCGATTGGACGAAAATTGAGACGATTAATCGGTTAACCGGCTGATCTCTTATCGTAAGAATCTATTTCTGTTGCGATCTTATTGCAGTTGATACGGCTATAAGTATCGTATCCGCGGAGAGATCAGGGGAGGGATTTCTTGAGCTCAATTACTTCGTATTTTGATGGAATAAGTGCTTAGGAGTATGCTGATCGTCGAGGGTGACGATTAGCGCGAGTACTCGCAGGCTTGTGAAGATTCCTTACTGTTTTATAAGAATTAAACGCACGATGGTCAAGTACGGTGAACAGTTTCTCGCGAATTTCGACGAAAATTCGGACACGCGGTGGGAGATCTTGAAACCGAGCCATTGGGCAGGATATGCACGTTTCTATTTACTCCGTTGTCCGAATCTCCTCGACACTGTCGGGAACAATCGAACAAGGATGAGAATACAGTTCCCACCGTCTTGTGGACAGTTGTCCGTAGAAGAAGCGTATCGAAAGACGCATTGATGATGGATCGCAACTCGTATCGTTTTTATTGCGACATTTTGGACGATGTTTCCATCGGGAACTCGAAACGGTTGGAACTGTATCATTTCCGGGCGGTGAAAGCCAAACATTCTTTATAAGAACACACCAGACACACACGCATACACGCACATGTACACACAAGCAGACGACAGAGACAGACACACACAACACGATATCTTCTCTCACAATCTGAATTCGTAGACACAGATATCCGGCGTCGAAGTTCACCGGAAACCCGCTTTATGTTCTTTCGTTGACTGTTTTTTCAGGTAACCGAAAGCCAACACACTAATTCTAAATCACGAAAGTAGGCAAAGAGGGGGCGAAATAATCTCCTGTGCCACGGTAGCGGACGCCGGCGAAAAACTGAAATCGTGGACGATATACGTTCGCCTAGCGATCCTTCTCTCGGACGGCGGCCGGTCGATCTCGAGCCTCTCGC